GGGAATAGCTGAAAATCTGTCAAATACTCTCAAACCATTGTTGTGTCATCTGTGTCCTACGGGGAGTAGCATTATCCTGCTGGTACCAACCATTACTGTCAGGGAACATAGCAAGCATAAAACAGTGCAAAAAGTATGTCACAAGATTAGTATACATTGCAACTGTGAAAGTCAGCTGCAGACTCACCATTAGTTCCTGTTCACGCTAATAGAACACATTTCAAACCTGGACAGAGCTATCATTAGCTTGCACAACACCTTACTGACAATGGATTCATGGTTTCATATGGTTGTTGCCACACACAAACATGACTATCAGCTCAAAAGAGCTGAAAATGAGTTTCATCTAACCACATAACACTGTGCCGGTCATAGTGTCCAATTTTGATGTTGTTTGGCCCAGGTGATGCACATGTCTGATGCCTGGTTGTTAATAATGACACTAAAGTGGGTCAGTGACTGCCAAACCCCAAGCAATGTAGTGTATGTTGTACAGTGCGTTGACTGATGGGTTCAGTAGCAACCCTGTTGAAGTCTGATGTAATTTGACAGAGAGTTGCCCTTTGTTGCATGGTTAGCCAATGACAGACATGTTCTTGCATTAGCCATGGGTGTCCACACTGTGCACAAGCTGCTGATGTCTGTCCAGAATTTGAGTATTTCTGGTAAATCCTTGATACTTGCACAAAAAATTCCAAAAGTGTTGGCCACCTCTCTCATAGAGTGACCCATTCTTTTTGCTCCAACATCTATCCACGATGAAATGGCAATAAATCCTTTACACTGCCTCTAACCGAGCTCTCACATAACCAATAAGTATCATACCTATGGTGTCAAATGCAAATGTTCCAGCTCGAAGCATTTCCCCTGTGAGTAGAAGGTAAGAACATTGCTTGTGCTGCTGTTTCTAACTTTTTGGCACTTCACTTCATAATATGGTGTGATACAGTCATTCTTTATAATTTTTATAAGAGTAAATTGAAATTTGCAATTTTACCATCATATAATGTACTGTATGAGAAATTATACCCAGAAAACATGATAAATTCTAACACAAAAGTAGCTTTTACAATATAATTAAATTTTTAAAAGTTTCTTAAATATTAATTTATTTTTAATGCAAGCAAGTAATAATTTAAAAACTTAAAAATGATTTAAAATACATGTAAATTATTGGTATTTATCATACGAAAACATTCATCTAATCAAGAAAATAAAATTAATTCTTCTTATTTCAAAATGAACACACAAAAAGCTATCAATGTTTTATTAAACAATAATTTCATTCCTATGATTTTTCTTTCATAATGCATCAAATTAAACCTTCATCAAATTGACCAGAGGCTGTACAATATGCCTCACAACCTGTATAGCTCAGTTTGTAGAGCATGAAACTCTTAATCTCAAGGTTGCAAGTTCAAGCCCATGTTGAGCATTTAACTTTTGGATAGCCAAAGCTGTGAATGAATCTGCCTACTGTTATGGAATACCCAGAATTGAATCCACCAGACAACCCTAGATATAGACATCATGTCTCGTCCCTCATCATTCAGCGCCATTATGAGCCTGGCCGAACCCACAATGAACACGGGAAAAATGCCACTCAATGTTTGCAGGGTGAAATGGTTGATTAGTTCTAAAATTGTATGCGTATTATCTGAGATAAAATTCTTTAGGCACTCCTCGAACAAAATTTAAGTCTTAATTTTCAAATAACTTATAATGGGTTTCAG